ATCCACCCCGTGCTTCATTTAACCACGACTCGTTGCAACTTGCACGTCGGAATCAAGTCAGCAAGCCATAGATTCTTGCCGAGTTGGTTTGCATGTGCAGTTGACGATTGATGACTACTCTTAATATCAGGGTTTCAGATTGTTGACCTACATGTGTATTTGTTGTGCGTTGTCCTTCTCTTGGCCAGCTTACTTGCTCATGCGTAGTACTACATCTTCTTCCACGTAGTCCCATGTACTTGCATCTGCTCCCACTTCTTCCCAATCTATGTCCCCCCACCCCACATGCTCCCATCACATGTGCTCCCACATTCTCCCATCACGTGTGCTCCCACATTCTCCCATCACATGTGCTCCCACATTCTCCCATCACATGTGCTCCCACATTCTCCCATCACATGTGCTCCCACATTCTCCCATCACATGTGCTCCCACATTCTCCCATCACATGTGCTCCCACATGCTTCCATCATATGTGCTCCCACATTCTCCCATCACATGTGCTCCCACATTCTCCCATCACATGTGCTCCCACATTCTCCCATCACATGTGCTCCCACATGCTCTCATCCCATGTGCTCCCACATTCTCCCATCACATGTGCTCCCACATCCTCTCATCCCATGTGCTCCCACATGCTCCCATCCCATGTACTATGTGTGCCTGTATTTGCTCCCACGTGCACTACTTTCACTACCCAGGAATCTTGCTGACAATAAGTACTTCGGCCCGTTCCCAGACGTGCCATTGTCGACCCGTCTCACTTACATGTGAGCCTGAATAGAAGTAGCTAGACAATAAGACGTCAAGCCAATTCAAAGATAGACAGTAAGTTGCTGGACTTGAGTTGAGTTTCAGTGTTAGCACTTTAGTTCCAGTGATAGCACTTGAGATGAGTGTTGGAAATGCACTTCTCTCTACTCCTAGATTTGCAGGATCACGTGGGTGCGTGCGGCTATCGTGGTTGGGGTTGGGAGTGTCGAAGGGCTCTATCGAGGTTTCACTGGCCACAACTGCCTGCCACCCTCTATCTGGCGTCCACGAGTTCTGTGCTTTCCTGCCAAACCTCGTGTCCCACCATGCAGGAACCAGACCAGGTGACTGTGAGTGGGCTCACCATAGCTGCATGTTTTCCTGCGATGCCACCATTCCTTTGTGCAGAAACGTCACGGGAAACTTCTTTTCGGGAACCGTTCCATCAATGGCTGGCTTGAAGGGCCTCAAAACCCTGCGAGTAAGCACTGGGAGGTGCACACTGATACACATGTAAGCAGCAGAGCGATCTACTATGGGTGTTGCTATGTTCGGTGCGCATGTGTGGCCGGGTGTTGCTGTTTTCTGTGCACACCCGCACGTGTGCATGCTGCTGTATTCCATGCGAGTACAGGAGCATGCTGCTGTGTTCTATGCAACTACAGGAGCATGCTGCTGTATTCTATGCAAGTACAGGAGCATGCTGCTGTGTTCTATGCAAGTACAGGAGCATGCTGCTGTGTTCTATGCAAGTGCAGGAGCATGCTGCTGTGTTCTATGCAAGTGCAGGAGCATGCTGCTGTGTTTCATTGTGCATGTGTGGCAACATTTGCACCACCATACACACAACAGCCTTCGTTGCAACATACATCCTCACATGCACAGAAGGAGATTTCATCACACCCTCACTTCGGCATCCTATTCCGTCTCACCATGTGCAGGTCACTCGAGAGGAACTACTTTGTGTCGGGGTTCCTTGTACGAAGGGTATGCGCCCAGGCCGCCGTTTCCCTTGGCAGGAACTGTTTTGCCGCCAACGACATTCCGTGCCTCCTAGACACCCTGCAGAGACCCGACTGCTCAAGCTTTTGTGGGATGTGTCAACGGGAGTTGTATGTTGGCCCCGTCCTCGCTTGGGCGGAGCCAACTTCGTGGTTGGGTGTAGGGTGCAGCCGACCTGCAGCAGTGGGCGAGTTGGTCGACGAGGTTGGTCGACCTGCACGGGGAGCCACTGCATGGGCGCCGACTTCAGGAGGGCGCCAACTTCGGCTGGTTGACCTGGGAAGTCGACCAGCCCTTCTGGTCGACCTGAGACGTCGACCAGACCTTCTGGTCGACCTGGGAAGTCGACCAGCCCTTCTGGTCGACCAGGGACGTCGACCAGGCCTTCTGGTCGACCAGGAGTGACGTCGACTTGGAGCTGGTCGACCAGGGGATAGTGGTCGACCTGGGGAGGTCGACTGGAGGTGGCTGTCGACTTGGGAGGTCGACCGGCACGTACCAGAGGCAGTGGTCGACCTTGGGAGGTCGACCGGAAGTGGTCGTCGACCTGGGTGGTCGACGGGCACGCACTGGAGCCTCTGGTCGACCTGGTTGCCCGGTCGACCAAGTTACCTGGGTGACGAGGTGCTGCGAAGGCTTGCGAAGGTCGCCCAGGTGGTTTTGGCGAGGACGACCTCGGTGATGGTATCCCGAGGTCGACGTGGTGCATCAGATGCAGTCGTCAGCACGAGGTGGACTTGGTGTGTGCGCTGTGCAGGTGACGAAGCAGTGCACGCCAATCATCTACGAGCACCTGCGAAGCGGGTGCGATGCTGGACTGTAGGAGCAACGCTGGCACGCCGTCGACTTGCGCTGTTGTCACGCCGTCGACCTGCAGCGTTGGCAAGCCGCGTCTCTGCACTGCTGGAGCGCGGTCGACCAAGTCGTGCTGGCACGCGGTCGACCGTGCTGCGCTGGCAGTCGACCTGCTTGCATCCTAGCTCTGATGTAGTCTTTCCTAGCCAACTTCATTGTATCATTGTTGTCAACTTTCTCTAGTGAAACTCTTGCCAAATTGCCTTGTGAACTAGCAAGCAGTGTGTGCACTAGGAAAACGACTAAGGACCAACGAACGTAGAGATCACACGAGCACACGTGCCTAGCCCGCAGTCTAGCTCCCGTTGTAGTAGTTATCTCCGCAGGATGGACGGCCCTAATAACCGTCCTTGCGGCGATTTTGGGTATTGCGGTGGGCCTATTTCTCTGTCAGCCCCCCTTGGGCCCACCGAGTGCCACTGCCTTGACGGGTACACGCTCGGGTCCACTGCCACGTCGTGCGTTCCTCTCTTGGAGGCCTCTCAAGGTGCGCTCTGATGGTGGCCCACCAATGCTGTGAGTAAGGAGGTTTAGCATGGCAGAGGGCTACTAAAAAGGAGCACTCTCTCCTGAGAGATCAGTTAAAGCCGGCGGCCCAAATTGTTCATGCATTTAAAAGATGACCAGAGGTAGTTTTTCTGGTGCGGGCTTTGGTGAGAGTTTCCAATTTCGTCTAGGTTTGTTGTTTTCGCGAGACCCAGCCAACCCTCGTTTTTCCCCCTGGTGAGTGGGTCAGGTTTCGAAAGTTTCAAATTGCAGGTGCGTGACTTTCAAAAGCTTGGACACTCAACTTCGTCAAGTTTTAAAAAATGGGGCCTCGCGCTCCGCAATTTGGGACGCGGGCTTTAAGAGGGTATTCTAAGCCCGATTACACGGACAGGTACAAGATTCAAGAGGATAGTAAGATGAGAACCCAACAGCCGGAGGAGACCATAAGGGTGTAGTGTAGAGAGTTCAACTGTGTTGATTCTAGTCTCCTGCATGCGTCTTCTGGCTCGCATGCGTGTCTCTTACAGCGCAAGTGTGGAAGGAGCTGCAAGTGCTGTGGGGCACCGGCACCAATGAGCACTGGGAACTCGAGACAGTCTCCTCCCTCATGCGCTTTGTCACTCTCGACCCACAGAGCTTCATTGTTCGCCTGTGAGTGCTCACACAGTGCTCCCTCAGCTCACATTTATGGAGTTGGGTTCTCTGCAAAGAAGATCCACATTCCTCTGATACCTGTTTGAGCTTATCACACTTGTGTGCATGCTTATCGTGTTCTAAAGTTCCTGTTCCTTTCCTTCTTCTTCTGGCTCTGCACACTTCTTATTTTCTCCACAAGTCTATCTGAGCCTCCACTTCTCTTCTCCCTACTTTCCAGCGACCTGTCAAACCAAGGGCTCTCTGGGACCATCCCTTCTGTCCTCATGTCCCTCACTCGCCTCACACACCTGTATGTTCTCACCAGCATTGTCTCTTCGTTTCCATCTCAAAGCTTGGTCTGACTTGTTGATGGACAATCCAATGAGATTTACTGTAGCATGTGGTCTTGCGTTACACAACTGCATTGTGAAGAATATATCGAGTATAGCTCTGAGGAGGATTAGGCACGAGCGAGCAAGCAAAGGGCTCAGCTGCAACTCATTCAGCCAGTCAGATCATCCAGGCACAAGCAAGATCATCCAGGCACAAGCAAGATCATCCAGGCACAAGCCAGATCATCCAGGCACAAGCAAGATCATCCAGGCACAAGCAAGATCATCCAGGCACAAGCAAGATCATCCAGGCACAAGCCAGATCATCCAGGCACAAGCCGAGCTAAGTATGGCCTGCTTCATGCCAACTGTATCCTATCCCGCATGTTCGTTCTCACTTGCTTCATCTCACCATGTCCAGGAATATCTCACGAAACTCATTTTCGGGCATCATCCCTAGTTCGTTCACCAGCCTTCTCAACATTCAGAATCTGTGAGTTGCTCTGCGATCTTGTGGGATTTGAGCTAGCGGTAGCAGATGGGTGGTACTGAGCGGGTTCACCGTGTTCAGAGCAGAATGCATTAATTACCCTCAACTCACAATGTAAACTCCATTACAGCAGCCGTTGCACTATGAACCGATCCCACCCACATCTGGGAGAAACGCATGCTTTGTGAGTGCTCTCTGCATTATTGTAAACTGCACTTTCTGCTCCAGATACTGCTGATTTCCATGAAAGAACAATCGTGTGATTTTACATTGCCCTGCTTGCTTGTTTGCCTGCAGTGACTTGTCCTACAACCAGCTGTCTCGAACCGTGCTCTCCACTCTCCTCAACCTCAAGACCCTCCGCTTCTTGTGGGAGTTCCGATACCAGTAGCGGATAAAATTATCCAAAATTGCAAGCCATTGCGACACACTGAAAATCGTTGTCATAGCTGTTTCTTCCTCTTATTGTCACACACCTTCCCCTTGGGGAGGCGGCCATCATCTGCTCTCCCAGTGCTGCTCTCCCAGTGCTGCTCTCCCAGTGCTGCTCTCCCAGTGCTGCTCTCCCAGTGCTGCTCTCCCAGTGCTGCTCTCCCAGTGCTGCTCTCCCAGTGCTGCTCTCCCAGTGCTGCTCTCCCAGTGCTGCTCTCCCAGTGCTGCTCTCCCAGTGCTGCTCTCCCAGTGCTGCTCTCCCAGTGCTGCTCTCCCAGTGCTGCTCTCCCAGTGCTGCTCTCCCAGTGCTGCTCTCCCAGTGCTGCTCTCCCAGTGCTGCTCTCCCAGTGCTGCTCTCCCAGTGCTGCTCTCCCAGTTTTGCTCTCCCAGTGCTGCTCTCCCAGTGCTGCTCTCCCAGTGCTGCTCTCCCAGTGCTGCTCTCCCAGTGCTGCTCTCCCAGTGCTGCTCTCCCAGTGCTGCTTTCCCTGTGCTGCTCTCTCAGTGCTGCTCTCCCAGTGCTGCTCTCCCAGTGCTGCTCTCCCAGTGCTGCTCTCCCAGTGCTGCTCTCCCAGTGCTGCTCTCCCAGTGCTGCTCTCCCAGTGCTGCTCTCCCAGTGCTGCTCTCCCAGTGCTGCTCTCCCAGTGCTGCTCTCCCAGTGCTGCTCTCCCAGTGCTGCTCTCCCAGTGCTGCTCTCCCTTTGCTGCTCTCTCAGTGCTGCTCTCCCAGTGCTGCCCTCCCTGTGCTGCTCTCCCAGTGCTGCTCTCCCAGTGCTGCTCTCCCAGTGCTGCTCTCCCAGTGCTGCTCTCCCAGTTTTGCTCTCCCATTGCTGCTCTCCCAGTGCTGCTCTCCCAGTGCTGCTCTCCCAGTGCTGCTCTCCCAGTGCTGCTCTCCCAGTGCTGCTCTCCCAGTGCTGCTCTCCCAGTGCTGCTCTCCCAGTGCTGCTCTCCCAGTGCTGCTCTCCCAGTGCTGCTCTCCCAGTGCTGCTCTCCCAGTGCTGCTCTCCCAGTGCTGCTCTCCCAGTGCTGCTCTCCCAGTGCTGCTCTCCCAGTGCTGCTCTCCCAGTGCTGCTCTCCCAGTGCTGCTCTCCCAGTTTTGCTCTCCCAGTGCTGCTCTCCCAGTGCTGCTCTCCCAGTGCTGCTCTCCCAGTGCTGCTCTCCCAGTGCTGCTCTCCCAGTGCTGCTCTCCCAGTGCTGCTCTCCCAGTTTTGCTCTCCCAGTGCTGCTCTCCCAGTGCTGCTCTCCCAGTGCTGCTCTCCCAGTGCTGCTCTCCCAGTGCTGCTCTCCCAGTGCTGCTCTCCCAGTGCTGCTCTCCCAGTGCTGCTCTCCCAGTGCTGCTCTCCCAGTGCTGCTCTCCCAGTGCTGCTCTCCCAGTGCTGCTCTCCCAGTGCTGCTCTCCCAGTTTTGCTCTCCCAGTGCTGCTCTCCCAGTGCTGCTCTCCCAGTGCTGCTCTCCCAGTGCTGCTCTCCCAGTGCTGCTCTCCCAGTGCTGCTCTCCCAGTGCTGCTCTCCCAGTGCTGCTCTCCCAGTGCTGCTCTCCCAGTGCTGCTCTCCCAGTGCTGCTCTCCCAGTGCTGCTCTCCCAGTGCTGCTCTCCCAGTGCTGCTCTCCCAGTGCTGCTCTCCCAGTGCTGCTCTCCCTGTGCTTCTCTCCCAGTGCTGCTCTCCCAGTGCTGCTCTCCCAGTGCTGCTCTCCCAGTGCTGCTCTCCCAGTGCTGCTCTCCCAGTGCTGCTCTCCCAGTGCTGCTCTCCCAGTGCTGCTCTCCCAGTGCTGCTCTCCCAGTGCTGCTCTCCCAGTGCTGCTCTCCCAGTGCTGCTCTCCCAGTGCTGCTCTCCCAGTGCTGCTCTCCCAGTTTTGCTCTCCCAGTGCTGCTCTCCCAGTGCTGCTCTCCCAGTGCTGCTCTCCCAGTGCTGCTCTCCCAGTGCTGCTCTCCCAGTGCTGCTCTCCCAGTGCTGCTCTCCCAGTGCTGCTCTCCCAGTGCTGCTCTCCCAGTGCTGCTCTCCCAGTGCTGCTCTCCCAGTGCTGCTCTCCCAGTTTTGCTCTCCCAGTGCTGCTCTCCCTGTGCTGCTCTCCCAGTGCCGCTCTCCCTGTGCTTCTCTCCCAGTGCTGCTCTCCCAGTGCTGCTCTCCCAGTGCTGCTCTCCCAGTGCTGCTCTCCCAGTGCTGCTCTCCCAGTGCTGCTCTCCCAGTGCTGCTCTCCCAGTGCTGCTCTCCCAGTGCTGCTCTCCCAGTGCTGCTCTCCCAGTGCTGCTCTCCCAGTGCTGCTCTCCCAGTGCTGCTCTCCCAGTGCTGCTCTCCCAGTGCTGCTCTCCCAGTGCTGCTCTCCCAGTGCTGCTCTCCCAGTGCTGCTCTCCCAGTGCTGCTCTCCCAGTGCTGCTCTCCCAGTGCTGCTCTCCCAGTGCTGCTCTCCCAGTGCTGCTCTCCCAGTTTTGCTCTCCCAGTGCTGCTCTCCCAGTGCTGCTCTCCCAGTGCTGCTCTCCCAGTGCTGCTCTCCCAGTGCTGCTCTCCCAGTGCTGCTCTCCCAGTGCTGCTCTCCCAGTGCTGCTCTCCCAGTGCTGCTCTCCCAGTGCTGCTCTCCCAGTGCTGCTCTCCCAGTGCTGCTCTCCCAGTGCTGCTCTCCCAGTGCTGCTCTCCCAGTGCTGCTCTCCCAGTGCTGCTCTCCCAGTGCTGCTCTCCCAGTGCTGCTCTCCCAGTGCTGCTCTCCCAGTGCTGCTCTCCCAGTGCTGCTCTCCCAGTGCTGCTCTCCCTTTGCTGCTCTCTCAGTGCTGCTCTCCCAGTGCTGCCCTCCCTGTGCTGCTCTCCCAGTGCTGCTCTCCCAGTGCTGCTCTCCCAGTGCTGCTCTCCCAGTGCTGCTCTCCCAGTTTTGCTCTCCCATTGCTGCTCTCCCAGTGCTGCTCTCCCAGTGCTGCTCTCCCAGTGCTGCTCTCCCAGTGCTGCTCTCCCAGTGCTGCTCTCCCAGTGCTGCTCTCCCAGTGCTGCTCTCCCAGTGCTGCTCTCCCAGTGCTGCTCTCCCAGTGCTGCTCTCCCAGTGCTGCTCTCCCAGTGCTGCTCTCCCAGTGCTGCTCTCCCAGTGCTGCTCTCCCAGTGCTGCTCTCCCAGTGCTGCTCTCCCAGTGCTGCTCTCCCAGTGCTGCTCTCCCAGTTTTGCTCTCCCAGTGCTGCTCTCCCAGTGCTGCTCTCCCAGTGCTGCTCTCCCAGTGCTGCTCTCCCAGTGCTGCTCTCCCAGTGCTGCTCTCCCAGTGCTGCTCTCCCAGTTTTGCTCTCCCAGTGCTGCTCTCCCAGTGCTGCTCTCCCAGTGCTGCTCTCCCAGTGCTGCTCTCCCAGTGCTGCTCTCCCAGTGCTGCTCTCCCAGTGCTGCTCTCCCAGTGCTGCTCTCCCAGTGCTGCTCTCCCAGTGCTGCTCTCCCAGTGCTGCTCTCCCAGTGCTGCTCTCCCAGTGCTGCTCTCCCAGTTTTGCTCTCCCAGTGCTGCTCTCCCAGTGCTGCTCTCCCAGTGCTGCTCTCCCAGTGCTGCTCTCCCAGTGCTGCTCTCCCAGTGCTGCTCTCCCAGTGCTGCTCTCCCAGTGCTGCTCTCCCAGTGCTGCTCTCCCAGTGCTGCTCTCCCAGTGCTGCTCTCCCAGTGCTGCTCTCCCAGTGCTGCTCTCCCAGTGCTGCTCTCCCAGTTTTGCTCTCCCAGTGCTGCTCTCCCTGTGCTGCTCTCCCAGTGCCGCTCTCCCTGTGCTTCTCTCCCAGTGCTGCTCTCCCAGTGCTGCTCTCCCAGTGCTGCTCTCCCAGTGCTGCTCTCCCAGTGCTGCTCTCCCAGTGCTGCTCTCCCAGTGCTGCTCTCCCAGTGCTGCTCTCCCAGTGCTGCTCTCCCAGTGCTGCTCTCCCAGTGCTGCTCTCCCAGTGCTGCTCTCCCAGTGCTGCTCTCCCAGTGCTGCTCTCCCAGTTTTGCTCTCCCAGTGCTGCTCTCCCAGTGCTGCTCTCCCAGTGCTGCTCTCCCAGTGCTGCTCTCCCAGTGCTGCTCTCCCAGTGCTGCTCTCCCAGTGCTGCTCTCCCAGTGCTGCTCTCCCAGTGCTGCTCTCCCAGTGCTGCTCTCCCAGTGCTGCTCTCCCAGTGCTGCTCTCCCAGTTTTGCTCTCCCAGTGCTGCTCTCCCTGTGCTGCTCTCCCAGTGCCGCTCTCCCTGTGCTTCTCTCCCAGTGCTGCTCTCCCAGTGCTGCTCTCCCAGTGCTGCTCTCCCAGTGCTGCTCTCCCAGTGCTGCTCTCCCAGTGCTGCTCTCCCAGTGCTGCTCTCCCAGTGCTGCTCTCCCAGTGCTGCTCTCCCAGTGCTGCTCTCCCAGTGCTGCTCTCCCAGTGCTGCTCTCCCAGTGCTGCTCTCCCAGTGCTGCTCTCCCAGTGCTGCTCTCCCAGTGCTGCTCTCCCAGTGCTGCTCTCCCAGTGCTGCTCTCCCAGTGCTGCTCTCCCAGTGCTGCTCTCCCAGTGCTGCTCTCCCAGTGCTGCTCTCCCAGTGCTGCTCTCCCAGTGCTGCTCTCCCAGTTTTGCTCTCCCAGTGCTGCTCTCCCAGTGCTGCTCTCCCAGTGCTGCTCTCCCAGTGCTGCTCTCCCAGTGCTGCTCTCCCAGTGCTGCTCTCCCAGTGCTGCTCTCCCAGTGCTGCTCTCCCAGTGCTGCTCTCCCAGTGCTGCTCTCCCAGTGCTGCTCTCCCAGTGCTGCTCTCCCAGTGCTGCTCTCCCAGTGCTGCTCTCCCAGTGCTGCTCTCCCAGTGCTGCTCTCCCAGTGCTGCTCTCCCAGTGCTGCTCTCCCAGTGCTGCTCTCCCAGTGCTGCTCTCCCAGTGCTGCTCTCACAGTTTTGCTCTCCCAGTGCTGCTCTCCCAGTGCTGCTCTCCCATTGCTGATCTCCCAGTGCTGCTCTCCCAGTGCTGCTCTCCCAGTGCTGCTCTCCCAGTGCTGCTCTCCCAGTGCTGCTCTCCCTTTGCTGCTCTCTCAGTGCTGCTCTCCCAGTGCTGCCCTCCCTGTGCTGCTCTCCCAGTGCTGCTCTCCCAGTGCTGCTCTCCCAGTGCTGCTCTCCCAGTGCTGCTCTCCCAGTTTTGCTCTCCCAGTGCTGCTCTCCCAGTGCTGCTCTCCCAGTGCTGCTCTCCCAGTGCTGCTCTCCCAGTGCTGCTCTCCCAGTGCTGCTCTCCCAGTGCTGCTCTCCCAGTGCTGCTCTCCCAGTGCTGCTCTCCCAGTGCTGCTCTCCCAGTGCTGCTCTCCCAGTGCTGCTCTCCCAGTGCTGCTCTCCCAGTGCTGCTCTCCCAGTGCTGCTCTCCCAGTGCTGCTCTCCCAGTGCTGCTCTCCCAGTGCTGCTCTCCCAGTGCTGCTCTCCCAGTTTTGCTCTCCCAGTGCTGCTCTCCCCGTGCTGCGCTCCCAGTGCTGCTCTCCCAGTGCTGCTCTCCCAGTGCTGCTCTCCCAGTGCTGCTCTCCCAGTGCTGCTCTCCCAGTTTTGCTCCCCCAGTTCTGCTCTCCCAGTGCTGCTCTCCCAGTGCTGCTCTCCCAGTGCTGCTCTCCCAGTGCTGCTCTCCCAGTGCTGCTCTCCCAGTGCTGCTCTCCCAGTGCTGCTCTCCCAGTGCTGCTCTCCCAGTGCTGCTCTCCCAGTGCTGCTCTCCCAGTGCTGCTCTCCCAGTGCTGCTCTCCCAGTTTTGCTCTCCTAGTGCTGCTCTCCCAGTGCTGCGCTCCCAGTGCTGCTCTCCCAGTGCTGCTCTCCCAGTGCTGCTCTCCCAGTGCTGCTCTCCCAGTGCTGCTCTCCCAGTGCTGCTCTCCCAGTGCTGCTCTCCCAGTGCTGCTCTCCCAGTGCTGCTCTCCCAGTGCTGCTCTCCCAGTGCTGCTCTCCCAGTGCTGCTCTCCCAGTTTTGCTCTCCCAGTGCTGCTCTCCCTGTGCTGCTCTCCCAGTGCCGCTCTCCCTGTGCTTCTCTCCCAGTGCTGCTCTCCCAGTGCTGCTCTCCCAGTGCTGCTCTCCCAGTGCTGCTCTCCCAGTGCTGCTCTCCCAGTGCTGCTCTCCCAGTGCTGCTCTCCCAGTGCTGCTCTCCCAGTGCTGCTCTCCCAGTGCTGCTCTCCCAGTGCTGCTCTCCCAGTGCTGCTCTCCCAGTGCTGCTCTCCCAGTGCTGCTCTCCCAGTGCTGCTCTCCCAGTGCTGCTCTCCCAGTGCTGCTCTCCCAGTTTTGCTCTCCCAGTGCTGCTCTCCCTGTGCTGCTCTCCCAGTGCCGCTCTCCCTGTGCTTCTCTCCCAGTGCTGCTCTCCCAGTGCTGCTCTCCCAGTGCTGCTCTCCCAGTGCTGCTCTCCCAGTGCTGCTCTCCCAGTGCTGCTCTCCCAGTGCTGCTCTCCCAGTGCTGCTCTCCCAGTGCTGCTCTCCCAGTGCTGCTCTCCCAGTGCTGCTCTCCCAGTTTTGCTCTCCCAGTGCTGCTCTCCCAGTGCTGCTCTCCCAGTGCTGCTCTCCCAGTGCTGCTCTCCCAGTGCTGCTCTCCCAGTGCTGCTCTCCCAGTGCTGCTCTCCCAGTGCTGCTCTCCCAGTGCTGCTCTCCCAGTGCTGCTCTCCCAGTGCTGCTCTCCCAGTGCTGCTCTCCCAGTGCTGCTCTCCCAGTGCTGCTCTCCCAGTGCTGCTCTCCCAGTGCTGCTCTCCCAGTGCTGCTCTCCCAGTGCTGCTCTCCCAGTGCTGCTCTCCCAGTGCTGCTCTCCCAGTGCTGCTCTCCCAGTGCTGCTCTCCCAGTGCTGCTCTCACAGTTTTGCTCTCCCAGTGCTGCTCTCCCAGTGCTGCTCTCCCAGTGCTGCTCTCCCAGTGCTGCTCTCCCAGTGCTGCTCTCCCAGTGCTGCTCTCCCAGTGCTGCTCTCCCAGTGCTGCTCTCCCTTTGCTGCTCTCTCAGTGCTGCTCTCCCAGTGCTGCCCTCCCTGTGCTGCTCTCCCAGTGCTGCTCTCCCAGTGCTGCTCTCCCAGTTTTGCTCTCCCAGTGCAGCTCTCCCAGTGCTGCTCTCCCAGTGCTGCTCTCCCAGTGCTGCTCTCCCAGTGCTGCTCTCCCAGTGCTGCTCTCCCAGTGCTGCTCTCCCAGTGCTGCTCTCCCAGTGCTGCTCTCCCAGTGCTGCTCTCCCAGTGCTGCTCTCCCAGTGCTGCTCTCCCAGTGCTGCTCTCCCAGTGCTGCTCTCCCAGTGCTGCTCTCCCAGTTTTGCTCTCCCAGTGCTGCTCTCCCTGTGCTGCTCTCCCAGTGCCGCTCTCCCTGTGCTTCTCTCCCAGTGCTGCTCTCCCAGTGCTGCTCTCCCAGTGCTGCTCTCCCAGTGCTGCTCTCCCAGTGCTGCTCTCCCAGTGCTGCTCTCCCAGTGCTGCTCTCCCAGTGCTGCTCTCCCAGTGCTGCTCTCCCAGTGCTGCTCTCCCAGTGCTGCTCTCCCAGTGCTGCTCTCCCAGTGCTGCTCTCCCAGTGCTGCTCTCCCAGTTTTGCTCTCCCAGTGCTGCTCTCCCAGTGCTGCTCTCCCAGTGCTGCTCTCCCAGTGCTGCTCTCCCAGTGCTGCTCTCCCAGTGCTGCTCTCCCAGTGCTGCTCTCCCAGTGCTGCTCTCCCAGTGCTGCTCTCCCAGTGCTGCTCTCCCAGTGCTGCTCTCCCAGTGCTGCTCTCCCAGTTTTGCTCTCCCAGTGCTGCTCTCCCTGTGCTGCTCTCCCAGTGCCGCTCTCCCTGTGCTTCTCTCCCAGTGCTGCTCTCCCAGTGCTGCTCTCCCAGTGCTGCTCTCCCAGTGCTGCTCTCCCAGTGCTGCTCTCCCAGTGCTGCTCTCCCAGTGCTGCTCTCCCAGTGCTGCTCTCCCAGTGCTGCTCTCCCAGTGCTGCTCTCCCAGTGCTGCTCTCCCAGTGCTGCTCTCCCAGTGCTGCTCTCCCAGTGCTGCTCTCCCAGTGCTGCTCTCCCAGTGCTGCTCTCCCAGTGCTGCTCTCCCAGTGCTGCTCTCCCAGTGCTGCTCTCCCAGTGCTGCTCTCCCAGTGCTGCTCTCCCAGTGCTGCTCTCCCAGTGCTGCTCTCCCAGTGCTGCTCTCCCAGTGCTGCTCTCCCAGTTTTGCTCTCCCAGTGCTGCTCTCCCAGTGCTGCTCTCCCAGTGCTGCTCTCCCAGTGCTGCTCTCCCAGTGCTGCTCTCCCAGTGCTGCTCTCCCAGTGCTGCTCTCCCAGTGCTGCTCTCCCAGTGCTGCTCTCCCAGTGCTGCTCTCCCAGTGCTGCTCTCCCAGTGCTGCTCTCCCAGTGCTGCTCTCCCAGTGCTGCTCTCCCAGTGCTGCTCTCCCAGTGCTGCTCTCCCAGTGCTGCTCTCCCAGTGCTGCTCTCCCAGTGCTGCTCTCCCAGTGCTGCTCTCACAGTTTTGCTCTCCCAGTGCTGCTCTCCCAGTGCTGCTCTCCCATTGCTGATCTCCCAGTGCTGCTCTCCCAGTGCTGCTCTCCCAGTGCTGCTCTCCCAGTGCTGCTCTCCCAGTGCTGCTCTCCCTTTGCTGCTCTCTCAGTGCTGCTCTCCCAGTGCTGCCCTCCCTGTGCTGCTCTCCCAGTGCTGCTCTCCCAGTGCTGCTCTCCCAGTGCTGCTCTCCCAGTGCTGCTCTCCCAGTTTTGCTCTCCCAGTGCTGCTCTCCCAGTGCTGCTCTCCCAGTGCTGCTCTCCCAGTGCTGCTCTCCCAGTGCTGCTCTCCCAGTGCTGCTCTCCCAGTGCTGCTCTCCCAGTGCTGCTCTCCCAGTGCTGCTCTCCCAGTGCTGCTCTCCCAGTGCTGCTCTCCCAGTGCTGCTCTCCCAGTGCTGCTCTCCCAGTGCTGCTCTCCCAGTGCTGCTCTCCCAGTGCTGCTCTCCCAGTGCTGCTCTCCCAGTGCTGCTCTCCCAGTGCTGCTCTCCCAGTTTTGCTCTCCCAGTGCTGCTCTCCCCGTGCTGCGCTCCCAGTGCTGCTCTCCCGGTGCTGCTCTCCCAGTGCTGCTCTCCCAGTGCTGCTCTCCCAGTGCTGCTCTCCCAGTTTTGCTCTCCCAGTGCTGCTCTCCCAGTGCTGCTCTCCCAGTGCTGCTCTCCCAGTGCTGCTCTCCCAGTGCTGCTCTCCCAGTGCTGCTCTCCCAGTGCTGCTCTCCCAGTGCTGCTCTCCCAGTGCTGCTCTCCCAGTGCTGCTCTCCCAGTGCTGCTCTCCCAGTGCTGCTCTCCCAGTGCTGCTCTCCCAGTTTTGCTCTCCCAGTGCTGCTCTCCCAGTGCTGCTCTCCCAGTGCTGCTCTCCCAGTGCTGCTCTCCCAGTGCTGCTCTCCCAGTGCTGCTCTCCCAGTGCTGCTCTCCCTGTACTGCTCTCCCAGTGCTGCTCTCCCAGTGCTGCTCTCCCAGTGCTGCTCTCCCAGTGCTGCTCTCCCAGTGCTGCTCTCCCAGTGCTGCTCTCCCAGTGCTGCTCTCCCAGTGCTGCTCTCCCAGTGCTGCTCTCCCAGTGCTGCTCTCCCAGTGCTGCTCTCCCAGTGCTGCTCTCCCAGTGCTGCTCTCCCAGTTTTGCTCTCCCAGTGCTGCTCTCCCTGTGCTGCTCTCCCAGTGCCGCTCTCCCTGTGCTTCTCTCCCAGTGCTGCTCTCCCAGTGCTGCTCTCCCAGTGCTGCTCTCCCAGTGCTGCTCTCCCAGTGCTGCTCTCCCAGTGCTGCTCTCCCAGTGCTGCTCTCCCAGTGCTGCTCTCCCAGTGCTGCTCTCCCAGTGCTGCTCTCCCAGTGCTGCTCTCCCAGTGCTGCTCTCCCAGTGCTGCTCTCCCAGTGCTGCTCTCCCAGTGCTGCTCTCCCAGTTTTGCTCTCCCAGTGCTGCTCTCCCTGTGCTGCTCTCCCAGTGCCGCTCTCCCTGTGCTTCTCTCCCAGTGCTGCTCTCCCAGTGCTGCTCTCCCAGTGCTGCTCTCCCAGTGCTGCTCTCCCAGTGCTGCTCTCCCAGTGCTGCTCTCCCAGTGCTGCTCTCCCAGTGCTGCTCTCCCAGTGCTGCTCTCCCAGTGCTGCTCTCCCAGTGCTGCTCTCCCAGTGCTGCTCTCCCAGTGCTGCTCTCCCAGTGCTGCTCTCCCAGTTTTGCTCTCCCAGTGCTGCTCTCCCAGTGCTGCTCTCCCAGTGCTGCTCTCCCAGTGCTGCTCTCCCAGTGCTGCTCTCCCAGTGCTGCTCTCCAAGTGCCGCTCTCCCAGTGCTGCTCTCCCAGTGCTGCTCTCCCAGTGCTGCTCTCCCAGTGCTGCTCTCCCAGTGCTGCTCTCCCAGTGCTGCTCTCCCAGTGCTGCTCTCCCAGTGCTGCTCTCCCAGTGCTGCTCTCCCAGTTTTTCTCTCCCAGTGCTGCTCTCCCAGTGCTGCTCTCCCAGTGCTGCTCTCCCAGTGCTGCTCTCCCAGTGCTGCTCTCCCAGTGCTGCTCTCCCAGTGCTGCTCTCCCAGTGCTGCTCTCCCAGTGCTGCTCTCCCAGTGCTGCTCTCCCAGTGCTGCTCTCCCAGTGCTGCTCTCCCAGTTTTGCTCTCCCAGTGCTGCTCTCCCAGTGCTGCTCTCCCAGTGCTGCTCTCCCAGTGCTGCTCTCCCTGTGCTTCTCTCCCAGTGCTGCTCTCCCAGTGCTGCTCTCCCAGTGCTGCTCTCCCAGTGCTGCTCTCCCAGTGCTGCTCTCCCAGTGCTGCTCTCCCAGTGCTGCTCTCCCAGTGCTGCTCTCCCAGTGCTGCTCTCCCAGTGCTGCTCTCCCAGTGCTGCTCTCCCAGTGCTGCTCTCCCAGTGCTGCTCTCCCAGTGCTGCTCTCCCAGTGCTGCTCTCCCAGTGCTGCTCTCCCAGTTTTGCTCTCCCAGTGCTGCTCTCCCAGTGCTGCTCTCCCAGTGCTGCTCTCCCAGTGCTGCTCTCCCAGTGCTGCTCTCCCAGTGCTGCTCTCCCAGTGCTGCTCTCCCAGTGCTGCTCTCCCAGTGCTGCTCTCCCAGTGCTGCTCTCCCAGTGCTGCTCTCCCAGTGCTGCTCTCCCAGTTTTGCTCTCCCAGTGCTGCTCTCCCTGTGCTGCTCTCCCAGTGCCGCTCTCCCTGTGCTTCTCTCCCAGTGCTGCTCTCCCAGTGCTGCTCTCCCAGTGCTTCTCTCCAAGTGCTGCTCTCCCAGTGCTGCTCTCCCAGTGCTGCTCTCCCAGTGCTGCTCTCCCAGTGCTGCTCTCCCAGTGCTGCTCTCCCAGTGCTGCTCTCCCAGTGCTGCTCTCCCAGTGCTGCTCTCCCAGTGCTGCTCTCCCAGTGCTGCTCTCCCAGTGCTGCTCTCCCAGTGCTGCTCTCCCAGTGCTGCTCTCCCAGTGCTGCTCTCCCAGTGCTGCTCTCCCAGTGCTGCTCTCCCAGTGCTGCTATCCCTGTGCTGCTCTCCCTGTGCTGCTCTCCCAGTGCTGCTCTCCCAGTGCTGCTCTCCCAGTGCTGCTCTCCCAGTGCTGCTCTCCCAGTGCTGCTCTCCCAGTGCTGCTCTCCCAGTTTTGCTCTCCCAGTGCTGCTCTCCCAGTGCTGCTCTCCCAGTGCTGCTCTCCCAGTGCTGCTCTCCCAGTGCTGCTCTCCCAGTGCTGCTCTCCCAGTGCTGCTCTCCCAGTGCTGCTCCCTCAGTGCTGCTCTCCCAGTGCTGCTCTCCCAGTGCTGCTCTCCCAGTGCTGCTCTCCCAGTGCTGCTCTCCCAGTGCTGCTCTCCCAGTGCTGCTCTCCCAGTGCTGCTCTCCCAGTGCTGCTCTCCCAGTGCTGCTCTCCCAGTGCTGCTCTCCCAGTGCTGCTCTCCCAGTGCTGCTCTCCCAGTGCTGCTCTCCCAGTGCTGCTCTCACAGTTTTGCTCTCCCAGTGCTGCTCTCCCAGTGCTGCTCTCCCAGTGCTGCTCTCCCAGTGCTGCTCTCCCAGTGCTGCTCTCCCAGTGCTGCTCTCCCAGTGCTGCTCTCCCAGTGCTGCTCTCCCTTTGCTGCTCTCTCAGTGCTGCTCTCCCAGTGCTGCCCTCCCTGTGCTGCTCTCCCAGTGCTGCTCTCCCAGTGCTGCTCTCCCAGTTTTGCTCTCCCAGTGCAGCTCTCCCAGTGCTGCTCTCCCAGTGCTGCTCTCCCAGTGCTGCTCTCCCAGTGCTGCTCTCCCAGTGCTGCTCTCCCAGTGCTGCTCTCCCAGTGCTGCTCTCCCAGTGCTGCTCTCCCTGTTCTGCTCTCTCAGTGCTGCTCTCCCAGTGCTGCTCTCCCAGTGCTGCTCTCCCAGTGCTGCTCTCCCAGTGCTGCTCTCCCAGTGCTGCTCTCCCAGTGCTGCTCTCCCAGTGCTGCTCTCCCAGTGCTGCTCTCCCAGTTTTGCTCTCCCAGTGCTGCTCTCCCAGTGCTGCTCTCCCAGTGCTGCTCTCCCAGTGCTGCTCTCCCAGTGCTGCTCTCCCAGTGCTGCTCTCCCAGTGCTGCTCTCCCGGTTTTGCTCTCCCAGTGCTGCTCTCCCAGTGCTGCTCTCCCAGTGCTGCTCTCCCAGTGCTGCTCTCCCAGTGCTGCTCTCCCAGTGCTGCTCTCCCAGTGCTGCTCTCCCAGTGCTGCTCTCCCAGTGCTGCTCTCCCAGTGCTGCTCTCCCAGTGCTGCTCTCCCAGTGCTGCTCTCCCAGTGCTGCTCTCCCAGTTTTGCTCTCCCAGTGCTGCTCTCCCAGTGCTGCTCTCCCAGTGCTGCTCTCCCAGTGCTGCTCTCCCAGTGCTGCTCTCCCAGTGCTGCTCTCCCAGTGCTGCTCTCCCAGTGCTGCTCTCCCAGTGCTGCTCTCCCAGTGCTGCTCTCCCAGTGCTGCTCTCCCAGTGCTGCTCTCCCAGTGCTGCTCTCCCAGTGCTGCTCTCCCAGTTTTGCTCTCCCAGTGCTGCTCTCCCTGTGCTGCTCTCCCAGTGCCGCTCTCCCTGTGCTTCTCTCCCAGTGCTGCTCTCCCAGTGCTGCTCTCCCAGTGCTGCTCTCCCAGTGCTGCTCTCCCAGTGCTGCTCTCCCAGTGCTGCTCTCCCAGTGCTGCTCTCCCAGTGCTGCTCTCCCAGTGCTGCTCTCCCAGTGCTGCTCTCCCAGTGCTGCTCTCCCAGTGCTGCTCTCCCAGTTTTGCTCTCCCAGTGCTGCTCTCCCAGTGCTGCTCTCCCAGTGCTGCTCTCCCAGTGCTGCTCTCCCAGTGCTGCTCTCCCAGTGCTGCTCTCCCAGTGCTGCTCTCCCAGTGCTGCTCTCCCAGTGCTGCTCTCCCAGTGCTGCTCTCCCAGTGCTGCTCTCCCAGTGCTGCTCTCCCAGTGCTGCTCTCCCAGTGCTGCTCTCCCTGTTCTGCTCTCTCAGTGCTGCTCTCCCAGTGCTGCTCTCCCAGTGCTGCTCTCCCAGTGCTGCTCTCCCAGTGCTGCTCTCCCAGTGCTGCTCTCCCAGTGCTGCTCTCCCAGTGCTGCTCTCCCAGTGCTGCTCTCCCAGTTTTGCTCTCCCAGTGCTGCTCTCCCAGTGCTGCTCTCCCAGTGCTGCTCTCCCAGTGCTGCTCTCCCAGTGCTGCTCTCCCAGTGCTGCTCTCCCAGTGCTGCTCTCCCGGTTTTGCTCTCCCAGTGCTGCTCTCCCAGTGCTGCTCTCCCAGTGCTGCTCTCCCAGTGCTGCTCTCCCAGTGCTGCTCTCCCAGTGCTGCTCTCCCAGTGCTGCTCTCCCAGTGCTGCTCTCCCAGTGCTGCTCTCCCAGTGCTGCTCTCCCAGTGCTGCTCTCCCAGTGCTGCTCTCCCAGTGCTGCTCTCCCAGTTTTGCTCTCCCAGTGCTGCTCTCCCAGTGCTGCTCTCCCAGTGCTGCTCTCCCAGTGCTGCTCTCCCAGTGCTGCTCTCCCAGTGCTGCTCTCCCAGTGCTGCTCTCCCAGTGCTGCTCTCCCAGTGCTGCTCTCCCAGTGCTGCTCTCCCAGTGCTGCTCTCCCAGTGCTGCTCTCCCAGTGCTGCTCTCCCAGTGCTGCTCTCCCAGTTTTGCTCTCCCAGTGCTGCTCTCCCTGTGCTGCTCTCCCAGTGCCGCTCTCCCTGTGCTTCTCTCCCAGTGCTGCTCTCCCAGTGCTGCTCTCCCAGTGCTGCTCTCCCAGTGCTGCTCTCCCAGTGCTGCTCTCCCAGTGCTGCTCTCCCAGTGCTGCTCTCCCAGTGCTGCTCTCCCAGTGCTGCTCTCCCAGTGCTGCTCTCCCAGTGCTGCTCTCCCAGTGCTGCTCTCCCAGTTTTGCTCTCCCAGTGCTGCTCTCCCAGTGCTGCTCTCCCAGTGCTGCTCTCCCAGTGCTGCTCTCCCAGTGCTGCTCTCCCAGTGCTGCTCTCCCAGTGCTGCTCTCCCAGTGCTGCTCTCCCAGTGCTGCTCTCCCAGTGCTGCTCTCCCAGTGCTGCTCTCCCAGTGCTGCTCTCCCAGTTTTGCTCTCCCAGTGCTGCTCTCCCTGTGCTGCTCTCCCAGTGCCGCTCTCCCTGTGCTTCTCTCCCAGTGCTGCTCTCCCAGTGCTGCTCTCCCAGTGCTGCTCTCCCAGTGCTGCTCTCCCAGTGCTGCTCTCCCAGTGCTGCTCTCCCAGTGCTGCTCTCCCAGTGCTGCTCTCCCAGTGCTGCTCTCCCAGTGCTGCTCTCCCAGTTTTGCTCTCCTAGTGCTGCTCTCCCAGTGCTGCTCTCCCAATGCCGCTCTCCCTGTGCTTCTCTCCCAGTGCTGCTCTCCCAGTGCTGCTCTCCCAGTGCTGCTCTCCCAGTGCTGCTCTCCCAGTGCTGCTCTCCCAGTGCTGCTCTCCCAGTGCTGCTCTCCCAGTGCTGCTCTCCCAGTGCTGCTCTCCCAGTGCTGCTCTCCCAGTGCTGCTCTCCCAGTGCTGCTCTCCCAGTGCTGCTCTCCCAGTGCTGCTCTCCCAGTGCTGCTCTCCCAGTGCTGCTCTCCCAGTGCTGCTCTCCCAGTTTTGCTCTCCCAGTGCTGCTCTCCCTGTGCTGCTCTCCCAGTGCCGCTCTCCCTGTGCTTCTCTCCCAGTGCTGCTCTCCCAGTGCTGCTCTCCCAGTGCTGCTCTCCCAGTGCTGCTCTCCCAGTGCTGCTCTCCCAGTGCTGCTCTCCCAGTGCTGCTCTCCCAGTGCTGCTCTCCCAGTGCTGCTCTCCCAGTGCTGCTCTCCCAGTGCTGCTCTCCCAGTTTTGCTCTCCCAGTGCTGCTCTCCCAGTGCTGCTCTCCCAGTGCTGCTCTCCCAGTGCTGCTCTCCCAGTGCTGCTCTCCCAGTGCTGCTCTCCCAGTGCTGCTCTCCCAGTGCTGCTCTCCCAGTGCTGCTCTCCCAGTGCTGCTCTCCCAGTGCTGCTCTCCCAGTGCTGCTCTCCCAGTGCTGCTCTCCCAGTGCTGCTCTCCCAGTGCTGCTCTCCCAGCATTGCTCTCCCGCTGCTGCCCACCATGCTGCCCCACACCTTCCGTTTGCCTCCCATGTGCAGGTCTCTCAGGAATAACTACCTTCACGCGGGCACGGTTGCGAAGCCAAAGTGCGCATCAAGGGCCTTGAAGTTGTCTCTCGGGAACAACTGCTTCCCCGCAAAAGCCATCCCCTGCAGCCAACCCCAGCGGCCAGCCCAGCAGTGCGCTGCCTTCTGCAGCCTCTTCCCCCCCGCTACGGAGCCCTGTGGTGGTCAGGGCTACTGCTTCTGGCAGGGAGCGCAGTACACAGGCACTGCCACGTGCGCGTGCAATGATGGGTTCGGGAATGGGGTGGATCTCGGCACGTGCTTGCAGTCGCTGCCAGAGTCAGAATGTACGTTATCTTCTGCACGTTATGTCATCACTTTTGTGGTAGCTTGCTTGCGTTGATTGGATGTCTGACTTGAGTGAGCTGCTGGTTACATCATAACAGTAGCAAGGCCCTGCAACAAGAGTGCGCAGAATTTGCATAACACAGTGGTCGCTGTGGTGCTGTGCTGGCTGTGCGTGCTGGCTGTGCGTGCTGGCTGTGTGTGCACAGGGTTGGGTCTGAGTGCGCTCTCTGCGGCGTGGGGCGGCTTTGATGGCGACGGCACTTGGAGGAGGAAGGTGCCGTGTGGGCAGCTCAAATACGTCCTCTGCAACCAGGCCAACCACATCATCACCCTGTGAGGCTCTCCATTGACAGAAAGCTCAAAACGATTTGAAAGAAATGCTTTGGGATGTATGTGGCTTGCCTAAGTCCATATCGGTGAATGTGCTAACCGTGGTTTCACAGATAGCGTTCTGTACTGGGTTGGTTCACGTTCCCTCTTCTAATCCTTTCTCTGTTTTCCCTGCTCGCCCTGCGCGTACAGGAGCGCACCCAGTTGCGGAATAAGTGGCTCGATTCCAACCACCATCGCCGATCTGCTGTACCTCACTTCCATGTGAGCCACGTAAAGCAGTATTTAGTATGTTTTTGTTTGAATTCCAGATTCTTGCTAGGACAGTGACCGCATCAAAGGGGGATTAACATTGCATGCAGCTAGCAAGTAAAAGCCAGCCCTCACTCTCAGATCTCTCTCTCCTTCATTATCCCCCGTCCACCACTATGCGTCCATTGTTCATCACCCCTCTGTCGTCCGTGGTGCAGCAACCTGTCTGACAACCACCTTGCAGGGCCCATCCCCGAGTCCATAAGCTCCCTCACCAACCTGCAGTCCGCGCGAGCTGCACTCCAAATGCTCGCATGATGCCTGCATCGTGCATGCACTCACACAACAGTGGCTGACCCCGTTGAAAAGTACTTATTAGCTGCCATTCACAATAGATACGAGTGCTTGCTGTGTACTGCATATGCTCAGATGATGGTAATGTGGGCGCCTTTATGCCTCTGCCGTTCGCTTCCTCACACTAAGAATATCCTCTCTTGGCTGAGATTTGTCAATGAACCAACTCTCAGGCGAACTGCAGAGCAGCCTCACGATTCTGCAAAATCTACACCAACTGTAAGATTGCCTTTTGCACTCCGTTTCTACTCCAATGGTTGTTCCTTTGCACCTCGTTTTGCACGCCATTTCTACTCCAATGGTTGTTCCTTAGCACCTGCCTGTCAGCTCCTGTTCCTTTCAGTTGGCAAAGCCCGAAAATTTCCGAGTTTTCCACATAATTGCTCAAGGTTTATGTTTCTTCCACTCTGTTTTTCTTTCACGATTCACCGTTGCAGATTGTTGGACATGAACTACCTCTACGCCGGCACCCCTCCCGCTTCCTTCTGCTCAACCGTGACGCTCTCCCTCACCAGCAACCGCTTCCCCTCCGACGCCATTCCCTGCAGCCTGCCTCACACGCAGCGGTCCGCCCAGGAGTGCACAACACTTTGCAGCCTCTCTCCCCCCTCCACGGCCCCGTGTGCTGGGCGTGGCTACTGCTTCTGGCAGGAAGCACAGGCCAGCAGCAGCGCCACGTGCTCGTGTGCAGCGGGCTTCATCACCGGGGTCTCCCCTGCAACTTGCGATGCTGTCTTACCCGAATCTGAGTGTAAGGCCCCCACAACATGGCATGACACTGTTGCTCTGCTCCTACACCCCTGTCTGTCACTCTACCTGCATTACCAGTAAAGTGGCAGCCCCCTTCTGTTCAGCACTGAATTAACGGCTTCTCTCCTCCAATCTTTTCCTGATGCAATGGTTTTCTGCAGTGTACTGTAGTCTACTAAACTGTATGGCAATAATGTGTACTGTACTGCTGCTAACAACTGATCAGAGTATGCAATATTCTTGTCGCCTTGCCATCCATCCCTCCCTCCCCTGTTATACAATGCACCATCACGGCCTACTAGCATGTTAACCACACTGCTCTCTCTCTTGAATCTCAAACCCAAAAACATACCCCCTCCCAACCACGTGCCTCGACCGTGCATCCCTCTCCAGGGCTTGTGCTGGAAGCACTGACAATAGCGTGGAAGGGGTACGACGGGGAGGGCACGTGGAGCAAGGACGCGTGCTGTGCTGACATGCGGCACATCACGTGCGACGTACAGAACCACATTGTGGAACTGTAAGGATCACCACAGTACAGTGAATTTCCTTTTTAGAGACGCTGAATAAAGATGGTATAAGAGTGGCAATTCTCAAAACCACTCGTGAAGCTGAAAGGAACACACTGAAGGTAGCAGTACAGTGCAAAACACACATAATGATGCTTAATTATGGGTAAGACTGGATGAAAAATAAAGTGTAGTATTTAACACACACATCTGGACCGCACATCATTGTCAGGATCAGCCTGACTCGCATATTTCTGGTGAGTGTTGCTTGATACCCTGGTAGGCATGAGCGCAAGACCAAAACTTCTGTTCAAGCCACCTTCTCTTTGGTTCATGGCGAACCGGTTTGCATCAAACTGAACAGTAGTATATTTCCCTTCCTCTATTGGTTCAAGCTGCTTCCAGCCTAATTGTTCTGACAAGTTTCGTTTCTACCCTTGTTGGATCGAGGATAGTTTGATGCAGAATATATGGTCGTGCTGGTGCTTATTTGGATCGAAATCAAGGGGCGGGGCAACTTCTACCCCTACTTGCTTATTTTCCCCACTCGTTTTGGAGCATTGGAGCATTTACAACAATGGTTTAGCTGAAAACGCCTAGGGCTTCTCTATTCAATTTAGGAAAGTGCGGTCTAGGACAGTGCGGATTACTCAAGGCCCAAAAGAATGTAACCATAATGAATGTTCTGGTCGATCCAACCCAGAACCGGCTGGATCCCAACCACCTCCGTTTTACTGGTTTGCTGGTCCATTTTTGGTTCCTGTGTGGTGTAAATGAACCAAAGCACTTTCGTTACGTTCTCTGTGCAATTCTACTGTATTACATCGTATGCAGGGATGTGGCCAACACTCGAACCTCTGGGAGCATCTCGGAGCTTATTACAAATCTTGTCTACCTCACTTCCTTGTAAGCATCTCACAGCCTTGTATGACTGGGCCAACAGTAACGTTCCGTTTACTTTTGGCCAAGCAATAATCGTAAAATGGAAAAATGATTTTTGAAACTTGGAGTGGGTGAACCTTTTACAGTATGACTGATCTGTGGTGGAGCATTAACATTAGGGCATAACATCATGAATCTTGTGAAAAGAGTAGAGAGGGTATTACTACTGTACCAATGGGATGATTTGACTCCAATCTCAAGCAGCGACCGCCAGTCTTCCACATTAAATGTGTTGTCAACACATGCCATTGAACTTTTGTCTGCACATTTTCAGAAACGTTGCAAAAAACAGTCTCAGTGGCACCATCCCCGCGACGATCGGAAACCTCAGCAACCTAATCACGCTGTAAGAAAAGCACCTTCTTTTTTTTATTTTTATACCTTTTTCCGCACAAGACGCTGGTTTTCCTGCCTTGCTCCGCACATAGGGTAGCGACTGGCAGTTCGCAACCCACTTTTATAGTGTATTCTTGGAATGCAGCTGCTGCAAACGCTGTGTCCCTTTAGCTTCTGCTAGTGCAAACTTCTTATTATGTCAGTTCAACACAAGCTCGCATGTGCCACATGATGACATTCCTTGCCTGCCTGTGCACGTCTGCCACCTTTGCCTGTGTGCGTGTGCTGTCGTTACATGGGCCAACCCTGCCTACATGTGCAGAGCCATGGATTCCAACAAGTTCCAAGGAGAATTGCCCGAGTCTCTGTCATCGTTACACAAGCTACAGCTACTGTGAGCATCTCTGTAGGCTGCAACGTACGACTTTTTCAACGACTGCTGTTTCCTCTAGCAGAGACCAACAACCAAGAGGCTGTCGATTGCATGCCTGGTGAACAGATCTTCAAACCGAAGCTGGGCTCGATTCAATGACCAAAATTCTTGTAGACTGGATCGTGTGTGCAGGAGTGTTGGAGTGAACGGGTTCAACGGTCAGATTCCCGAAGCTGTTTGCAAGATGACGAGTCTGACGGCCATGTGAGTGACGCCAAGGTCATGCTCCCTTCGCTTCTCCTTATTGCAGCTTCGAAACATCCATAATCTTACCCTTCCTCCTCACTGCACTCTGGCCTGGCCAGTTCTTTTTTGCCCACTCCATCTGCTTCTTGGAAAATTTGGTGCTGTTAACGTCAACCATCACTCCATTGCCCATTGCTGCCTGGCCGGCAAGGCAGATCGGCGGGTCTCAACAGCTTCTCGGGGTCCATTCCCGACTGCATCTCGACTCTCACAAATCTGGTCACCTGGTGAGCACGTGGCAGCAGCAGCAGCGTTGCTTGTCCGTTCAATCTTGAGCCCCTGTGCAGTGGAAACTGGTGGAGTCACATCATGACAACCTTGCCCAGGGAACACTCCTTTGGTTTAAATGGATCACTATCGAATTGTTCGACAACAAAAATAATTACTATGTTCATTGGTGCACTATTTGTGCTCTGCTCACCCCGTCAAGCTTACATTGTAGTAACAAATTCGGCCACCATCAACATGCTGTCTCTAACACCTGCATCATCGTGCTCATTACAAATTCATCGCTGTCCGGACTTTGCAAGACCTTTCGTCTTTCACTTTTTGCAAAACTTATTCATGTTTGCCAGTGAAGTGAAGTGCCATAGCATACTTCATTCCATGAAGTCCACACCTCCCAGTGAACTCCTCCTTTGCACCCACTTTGCTGGCTTTGCTACAGTGACCTGCGAGAGAACAAACTCTCTGGAAGGGTGCCAGCCTCCATTGGCCTGCTGGGGAATCTTCTGCTATTGTGAGCAATCACACCCTCTTTGTCAACACTTCACCCTAGTTCCATTACAGCCGTGTCATCAAGACTTCTGCACATTTTTGAACCTCCACCTTGGCTTGTTCGTATGCTGAGCCAAGTCGGAGGGTCAATAGTACTGCCAGCCAGCTCGACCAGTTGGAAATGGCCCGTTACCAGCTTTTCTGCGATAAGGCAGTGACTCATGACTCGTCCGTTCGGCCGTCATATGTTGCCAGATATGCACGAGCCAGTTATGCACGAGCTGGCCAAGACACGACTTTGCAATTCATCGCGTGCTGCTCCAGCTCTTCCATGGCTCCCTCTATCTCACGATGCAACACCTGACCTCAAAGATGGCCCATTCATCCTGACTGGATGGATGACCATCTCGGGCTGGTTGAAATCTGGCTCATGCTTGGCCTCGTTAACAGCTCTGAAATACATGTTGTTTGAAGCTCGTTTTATCTGTTTTCCTTCTAAATCATTCACTCCATAACCCAATAAGCATGCATCTTGAGCATCGCATTGCAGCACAGTAATTTGGCAATTTCATCATTTGTATTTGAACGTGCTTAGTATGAAGTTGATATGAGCACGAACCGAACTCAAACATGTTTGCACAAACTTTTTCGAACCTTGCATGAGGGTCGAACCGAACCGAACTTGTTTGCTCGAAGTTTTTTTTGAATGTTGAGGTTTGAGGTTTGTATAGAACAGCGAACCTTAAAGGTTTATGCAAACTCGAACCTAGTTAGTTTTGGGGGAAAATATGATGCACAAGGAAATGTAAAAGGCATGCGCGTCAGACGGTTCAGCAGTGTACTATCTAGCTTAACACCTAAACGTACGTAGGACGCATCTTAAGAGGGAGTTGTTGTGAATGAATAGTAGTGTAGTGTGTGAGCTTGGGTGTGGTACTTAGGAGCAGGTCTAGACCTTCTCTACCTAACTTACGATCTTAGGGTTGGCAGTCAACCCTACAACTTTCCCGATTTTGACGGGAAAGTCGAGTGGGTTCTGGCGGGGTCTAATTCGAACCCCGCAAAGTTTGAAAAAAATGCTGTTTCAAACTTCGAACCGGTTTGGTTTGAAGTTCTAAACCCGAACCATAAAAGTTTGAGCAAACGGTTCGGGCAAACTTCTCCAAAGTTTGCGCAAACTTTTTTCAAGAGAAAAAAAGTTCGGTTCATTTTAATTCAATCCGGTTCGAGCGAACCGAACCTAGGTTCGGTTCGTTGCTCATGTCTAGTATGAAGTATCTCCACTGATGTGCCAAAAATCAAACAACCAACCCACAGGGACTTGAGTGGCAACCGTCTATCAGGAAGCCTCCTGAGCTCAATCACGTCAATGACAGCACTCACCAGCATGTACGCCCCACTCTATGTCCCTTCCTCTCTGCGCATTTCCTGAGCTCTGCCCCTCAAACCTCCATTTCCGTTCCTCATTCCCCTTTCGTGTACGATAAGCTTTCTCTTCAATCTCCCCATTTCACCCCACTTCCCCTTTTGCCTACATTATTTGCCTGCATTCAGCATTTAAGCCACAACCATAACTGTTTCAAAATGCAAGTTCCCCTCCTTCCCACCACACCACCACCACTACCACCACCACCACCACCACCACCACCACCACCACCACCACCACCACCACCACCACCACCACCACCACCACCACCACCACCACCACCACCACCCACCACCACCACCACCACCACCACCACCACCACTCCAGGTTCATTGACAACAACAAGCTCTCTGGCATGCTCGTGCTGCCCCCGACTGCAGCGGCTCTCACAGCGCGAGGCAACTTCTTCTCCTCCACGCCTTCCACCACATGCTCCGCCGCTCTGATTGAAGGCAACTGCTTCACCTATAACGACTCCTTTTCCTGCCCCTCCATTTTCCAGCGTGACATCACTGATTGTGCCCTTTTCTGCGGGCTTTCCGGCACGTCACAACCGTGTGGGGGGGTGGGAGCGTGTGTGCTGCAGGGCGTGAATGAGTCGCCCGTGTGCGACTTCATTGATGGGTACAGCAATGGGGAGTCAGCAGACACGTGCATACTTAAACGTAAGTAGCTAGTTACCCACCCTGTTTGTTTGTGGTAGAGTGCATACAAGTTTTACTCGAATCTACGCATGCAAAATCGTTTCTCACGACTGCTGATGCCCATTGCAAAGTGCACTTCTTCTGCATATTCTCTCCCCCTTGGCTCACACCAGCAATCGTGCCCCTTTGCACCAATTGCTCCTGCCGCCATGCCGTCTCTGTGCAGAGCTGGCCTACCCGTGGGTGCACACCATAGTGCCTGCAGAGACCGTCCTCACGGACCTCACCACGCCTGCCACGGGATCCGTCTTCTCCACCGCGCCCCTGCAGCTCTTCTCCTTCGCTGTCATCCGCAACTTCTGTGGCCGCGAGTTCTACTTCAGAGCCAACTTCTCCTTCACCATGCTGCCACGCGTGAAAAGAACGGGCGACGATGGCCTGGCGTTTGTGATATCCAAGACTGCCACAGCCGGCACTCAGGGCGGCATGGGGTATGGTGGGATGGACAGTGCGAGCCTGGCTGTGGAGTTTGACACGTGGCAGAACAAGGAGGACAAGGATGTGAGCAGCAACCACGTGGGAGTGAATGTCAATGGGAGCCCCATCTCCAAAGTCGCAGTGAAGAGCAGTCTGTTGCTGAACAGTGGAATGCCGTGCTTTGTGTGGGTGGACTACAGCCCTGAGGGTACAGGAACGTTGAATGTGTCCCTCGCCATGTCCCCTACGGCCAAGCCTGCCAAGCCGCTGCTCACCATGCCCCTCTCGCTGTGCGATGTCCTGGGGCCCACAAAAGACTCCACCTCCTTCTACTTTGGGTTTGTCGCATCATCACGGGCGCAGTTCACCCAGCAGCACACCGTGGGCATCACCGCTGCTGAGACAGGCAAGCCTGCTGTGCTCGTCTCATAATCCTTGCAATTTGCGTCAGCATGAGTTCTCTTGCCTTCCAGTATCTTCGACATAATCTATGTGGTTTTCTTTTGCATGCCGTACGTTCAACCCCCCTCCTGCAGGCTATGCTCCAGTGTCCACACTGTTGTACCCTAGAGGTGAGCTTGCCTGAACATGCTCCAATGTAAGCTCACCTGATCATGCTCTTGAACTCTATATTGGAGACGGACAAGTCAATTATTCTCCAAACACCAATGTCCATGTTTCTCTGACGTGCACGCAAGAGGGAGGTCCAGGTAAGTAGGAAGTGCAGAGCAAGGCCACAAAAGCCTGGATTAATTTTAACATGGTCTACACTTAAAATCCGTTCTCCTACTTTTCTTCATTCTTCATTCATCAATTGACCTGCATTTTCTCGAAAATACTCTCATGTCATCTCATCACTATATGCTGCAATCTTCACTCAGATTCTCGAGACCAATGCTTCTCACTTCAGCAAGTTCGTGCAATGCCTTTCCGTCTCATCTAGCCTGCATGCTCCCACATGATGTTAGCATGGGACACATTCTTCGTTCGTGCACATACCACATCTCTTGATGAATCTATAGACTTCTTACATGCCCCCACTCAACCCCAACCTATTTCTCATCCCCTTCCTCCTCACCTCCTCACCTCCCCACCCTGTCCTCCGCATTTTCCCACTCCCTCCATCTTCCTCCACCTGTCCCGCACGCTCCCCCCACAGCCACGGGCCTGGTGATCTCAAAAGACACGCTGCGCCCCGCCACCACCAGCCCTGGCAGTCGTCTCACCCGTTACGTCAGTGTGGGGTTTGTGCGCTCGGAGGAGACATTAGTGTGGGGGGTACCCCCCTCCCGCACGTGGAACATGCTCGGCCCAGTTGCAGACCAGGGCCAGTGCGGTGAGAGCAGGGCCAGTGCGGTGAGAGCAGGGCCAGTGCGTTAAGGGATGCCATCTGGATAGGAAAGAGCAACACTGGAGTTGATGTTTTAGTAGATTGAAACTCTCAAATAAGATTTCGCAAGGAAATTTGAGTTGGCGCAGGAGTTCTGTAGCGTTGGGTTTTTAGATTCAGGAAAAGGTTGTCTTTTTTGGGTTTCGTATGTTTGGTTGCTGTTTGTGGGGAAGGGGATGTTGATTTGGTTTTCTAGGTCGCATTCTCCACTCTCTCCCCTCTGCTGCATTTCCCTTCCCCTCCTCGCTATGCATCTTGCTTGCCATCCACCCGCCCCATAAGGCAGGGAGCTGCTGGGCATATGCAGTGGTGGCGAGTGTGGAAGCAGCAAATGGCATTGCCTCCAACCTCAGCGACAGCTATCTATCGCTCTCCATCAACTCGCTCTACTTGCTCATGGGCCTGCCGCGCTGCTCAGGAGGGTCGCCCGCCCTCGCATTCAGGAGGCTGGCTGACGCGGCTGCGACCCGCAAGGGCCTCATGGGGGGGGAGGTGCCCTACCCTGTCATATCATCTATTGCAGCGCTGGCGTTTCCCCTCCCTTTAAACACTGTCGCCCGGCACGATCGGTCGATGGGGATTGCCGTTCGCGCTGCATCAAAGGGAAAGGCTGCCAGAGTATACATCTCCATCGTGCAATTTGGATTGTTACATACATGTTCCTTACATCCTCTTTCAACATCTTGCCGTTAACATGCATGAGTCAAGCATTCAGGGAGTTTAGGGTGGCACTTCATTGCGCAGTCAAGGGTGCAAGCACTCCATATGCAAAGGAAAGTGTGTAAGGAACTATGGTAGCGTTGATAATATTTGTCCATTCATATCACCTTTGGTTTGCAAACCCCTGCACGAAAATTGAGCCTTGGAGTATCTAAACCATGCCTAAAGTCTTAACCAGCAACCCACTGCTGTGTGCTATCATATGTTTTGTCCTAAGATTTTTTTCTTCCAATCACGTTCTCATGCTATCTCGTGCCATATAATGCGTGCAGGGAGCGAAGTGGGTGGTGAACGGGTTTGAGCGCACTGATTTTTATGCGAGGTTTGGGCTTCTGCTGGTGGTGCGGCAGCAGCCGGTGGTGGTGCACATCGAGGCCTCTGCTGACTCCTCCATCCAGTATGATGGGGTACGAACGAAGCAACAAGTTCCAAAGGGATGTGAACAAAAGAGCTCACTAGTTGTAATGTTTTATGAATGAGCACTCTGGTAGTTCTGATGGGTTGGAACAAAACAAAAGAATGCACTAGTTTTGAAGTGGTGCATTGCACTATTCCAATGGGTTAAGAACGAGAGTATGCACTACAGAATAGACTATATGTTTCAATTGGGAAACGAAACAAAACAATAGTTAGTCTCATTGGGGTACCAGCAAACAACCTACTGGTTGAATGGTGCGAAAAGAACAATGCCGTTTTCTCATGGGGTATAAACCAACTGTACTCTAGTTTCATTAAAATGCGACCCTCCACGGCATTCTAAGGTTTCTAGTGTGCAAACCTGTGGCGTCTATGGATTTGAACCTGCAATGCAATAATTACCCCTTTCTCTTACCTTCTTTCTTACCCCATTCTGCCCCCCCACCCCACCCATTCCATGTCATTTCTACATGACATTGATCTGATGTCATATCATAGTAGATATCTACAACACTATCCTTCCCCGAATGGTGCTTTCCTTTGGCATACAGGTGGAGAAGTATCAAGACCCAGGTTGCTAGACGGGGAACCTCAACCACGTTGTGCTGGTTACAGGCTACCGCATGTTGGGCAAAGATCAAAGTCGTCCTCATGTCCCTCCGCCATTCTGGCTCATTCGCAACTCGTGGGGGTCACGGTGGGGCGACAACGGGTACATGCGCATGGGGTTGGAGGGAGGAGTTGGCGTGTGTGGGATCAACATGTTGCCAGGCATTTATCCCGTGATCAAGTGTAAGTCAGCTATGCTGGAAAGGGCGCTCATAAGTTGGATCGTCCAGCGTTCGGACGCTGAACAACGGACGCTAGTCAGAACGCTGGACTTTTTCTGGGCAGCCCAAGATGAAAAAACCTCCCCACGTTCTATACAATCACGACGTGGACGCGATTGCCGACGCGTCAATATTGAATCTCCAATATGATTGGTTCTGCAAACCAGAATCACTCCCTCAACTTTATTTGATTATCCTCACCAACCGCACATCACTGCGCATTACATCCCACCCTCAAACCATGTCAACATACTTCCTAAGTACAAAGCACATTTGGTGGACATTTTCAGATTTTCAACCTGCTCGTCCAGATTGTGAGTTTCCGGAAAGTCCCTGTTCATTGTAATTCCCCTGCCCCCATGCCCTTTCCCCACAGTAGTACGTCCTGCTTGGCTGAGCGCCCTTTAGCATCCTGTAAAGGGTGAGCTGAAGTATCCAGCGTCTGTACACTAGCATCACCCTTTGCTCTCTATCAGCTCGTGGATACCCATGAGAAATGCACACACCTACTTGCCATATTCAAATGGCAGACTCAGCTGAATGCCGCGCTACCTCGCTCACCCTTCATACCAGACGAATTGCAATGCAACCCTGACTGCCCCATCCTTCCCTGCGTGTCATGCCAGTGCCGTCTGACCCTTGCATGAATACATCCTACAGGTCGGTGCTGAACCCATGTGGCCAATTTACTTGCACAGTGAAGGGCACCTACAACAACTGCACCTGCGAGCTGCCCTTTAAGGAGGTCACCAACAACGATGGCACGCGCTCCTGCGCCTACTGTGAGCTCGCCATGCTGATGGCACTTGTGTGCTCTGTTAGATAGGGATACTAGTATGCCTACAGTGGGCTTGACATGCTGCTGGTGAGATGACTGCTCTGGTGGACAGAGGCGTGGCCTGATTTGATCTGATTTGATGCTTAGAGTGAGTCCGGTGCTGCCACTAGTACTTGCTCGTCGCAGGCCATTCTCATGCCGCATGTAGACTGTCTGCTGTGCATGTGATTGCAGCTGTAGCGTAACATACTCACCTAGGGATGAGCAAAAACAACGAACTCGAGGTGAACCGAACAGGTTAAGTTTTTTGGCTTAAAGTGTTCGCCGAACAGTGTTCGAGGTTCGCCCGAACACGTTCGTGTTCGGGCCGCTGCTGCAATTTGCCCCACAACGAACACGAACGTGTTCGAGGTTCGCCCGAACACGCCTTCATAGGCGAACAGCGAATACCTGTTTTTGCTTCAGGTGTTCGCCGAACCGAACAGTGTTCGGTTCGCCGAACAGGGGTGTTTGTGAACGTGTGATAAGACTGGGTGTCAAGCCTATTGTTTATGCTGTGTTTTTTTTATAATTCCCGCTACTAGCAAATGTTTTTGTAATTAAACAATACTGCCAACAAATGATGTGACAGATACCAAACCATACTAGTCTCGGTGCTTGCCTTGCAGTAACCATGTGCCTTTGCAAAAGCAAAATGCGCATCCCCACAGTTACTCTGGTTGTGACTTTTTGTGCCCACTGTGCTGTCCACCAGTGTACGTGTGCAGGAGCAGCACACGCAACCCCTGTGAGGTGGGCACCAGCATTGATGATGGCCAGGGCTCCTACACGTGTGTGTGCCCGCCCACACACACCCCAGACACCACCATCGATGGCTTCCCCACCTGCACCAAAGGTGAGCCAGGATTTCCAGGCATTCATAACCCCCCTTCCTCACGTTATGGCAATGAAAATTGAAGTAATAAACACAGTTAGGGAGCGTGTGTGAGCATGGGGTTCAGGGAAGAGGCAATCAAGAATTTAATATTGCTGGACAAATTTTTGTTCTGCTGCTAACAGTTGATACTATGGACCCACAAATTCCAACAACCACGACATGGGGGTTCATTCATCACCCCACATTAGAGGGAATTCAATGCTTTCCTTCAACCTAGCCTGAATGTTGCTGTTGCACCCACATAATGTGGCTACCACATATGGACAACAGATGGTTCTCACTTCAAACACATCCACACTCCAATTTTCCCTCTGTTATGAACAGGCACCACACTCGCCTCATCAGTAAAAGTCGAAGGAC